ATATTGCAGGTTTTTGACACTTCCGGGTTGGCTTCATTTTTCAGGGCCGGTTGCTACGTCCATCTTTTATACAGTCTGTGGGTGTTCCCAGAGGTTTGAGCGCCTGTTGTAGGTTCCGGGAGCAACCACAGGATGAAATGGCGTGGGGGTGTTTTGTTCAGGTTCAAGGTGTTTGTTTATGGTTTTATGGGTATATTGTAAATATATTGATTATTTATGGATGTTAATGTTTGTAAATATATTTTATTATATTTAAAAATGCTTCACAAAAATGTTAACTTAAGTATTTAATTTTGGAAAAGAACATAACCTCCCTGTGTCTGTGGTGGCGGGTTAAGCTTCCTGGTGGTATGCTATAAAAGGACTGCCAGGATCTTCATTAGAGGCCTGCTGCCAGTGGAAGCAACACGAGCTCCAAAGAAGACTTTTTTATTGATTGAAGAAAAAGGAACAGATAATAAACTTTTCCACCGTATCAGACTCGGCCTTCAGCCTCTTCATTCCAGCTGCTAGTGGCTATTCCTCACAGGAAGCTAATGTGACTGTACGCCAACTAAAACCTAAATTAACTAAATTAGTTTAGTGTAGCTGACCCTGATTGATTAAATAACAGTTGAACTTTTTTGATATTAGCAGCTGTTTCTGAATTTGTTGACTTTCTCTCAGACTCGGAAACGTGTCGTAAAACTTTACCCTGCTTTGAGCAACTCAAAAACCATTCCTCTGGACTCGGAACATCCTAGTGCTACTTCAGGATACATGTCATTGGTACAAAATAGAGACAGTCATCAGCTTCAAACCAAATATACCACCAACCTACAGACCAATTGGTGTCAACCTTCAAAAATCCTGACTGACTGGTGCACTGCTGTAGTATCTCTCCATCTGTGTCTGAGGCCACAAGCTGATATTGACACAGAGCTTCTGTTTCCAGGAGCCACATAATGAGTGATGGAGAAATCATTTGGGTACAGGAGAGAGAGATAAACCACTCTCAGACTGCTGCGCACAAAATACTACGAGTGACAACTTGCCTATAAAGCAGGCAGCAGGAGGGGCGTTTTCATAAACTATAATTAGCGGACTCCGTTCTTATAGAAAAGCAAGATCCTTTGTTTGGAATAAGACATTTGTTTGCGGGTTATTTGTAATGCAAACCGGCCTCCACCCTGGCAGTCGCACTACCTTGAATTTCATACAACCACAGTGAGATATTTGAGTGGAGACAATGGCCCCATAATCTGATAGTGCTGTCTGTTTCCCTGCTTCCGGACAGAGCTTCAAATGAACCATGATATGATCACCGAGCTGCAGTGGAAGTGCACCAGTGAACGATGGCAGCTATATCCAGACAGTGATGCACCTCTCCTATTTCAGGAAGGAGACTAATGACATTTATATGACCTTGTTAGATGCTCCCGACTGAGGCAGACATATACTGATGACACATCAAATGAAATAACAGGTATATCGTTTTGATTTTACAATCGTCTTCAAATAGTCCCAAAGAGCTGGAACCAATTTGTGAAGGCAGAATGAAGAAAACCTTGTGAATAAGCTCATATTCATCTGCACTTCAAAGATACTTGGCGAAAAAAAAAAACAAGGGAATGACTCAATAATTCATGAGCGTTACCAACTCCACAGCACTTTAGAGTTCCCATAGCAGGGACATGCTGTATGCAGCTTACACAGTGCGGACCTACATACTGTATGGAGAATTGTCCTGTCCTCGTTCGAATCAGCAAATATGCAACCCCTGAGCTGAGCTACACAGAAAATGCTTTCCCTGTGCTGACAGCTGTTTCAGAACAGGGGAACACACTAAACCAGCGCTGAGAAAGTACAGCGCACATACGGCCCTCTAAATGCAAATACGTCGGGTGTTGAGCTGTCACGCTGTTTTTCAATGTACATCTGGGACCTACAACATATATAGTCGTGCGTTACAGTCCTCAGTGTGACAGTATGCAATTTTATGACCACTGCAGCAATTGTACAAAACCACATTATCTACACAGGAAGTGAGTAGGCGTCCAGCTGACAGAACATAAGAACTCAAATATCACTTTATGAACTGACAACAGATGCATGTTAACCCAATATAAGCATCACGAAAGTTTGAATCTGAGAGTAAAAAAAATACTCACGTTGCAGCAAAAACACTGCATTATGAATTTCATCCAATAGCTGCTTTAAAAAATGCTACGAGGCACACTTTGTTAGGCGTTCTGAAATGTCTTTTGGATACTATCTAGTCTAGTAGGAGTGCAAGAAAAGATGACACAGCTTCAAACACTGACATCTAACTTTAATTATTAAACTCAGACTTAGCTATACCAAGATACTGATCCCTTCACACTAATAAGACAGCGGTAGGCATAATGAAAGGAGAGTGAAAAATAGCTTTCAGTTCGTTATCTGTTTCTCTTCTGTTCACATCATTCGACCTGCTGGCGTTAGAACCCAGAAATAATGACTACAAGACAGGAATATAAAAGCACAGAGGCTGATCTCATATTTCAGTCAGGGGAAAATTCTAATGTGTAGAGATATTGATTTAAGGTTTGTCACTACGCGTTCATTTCAGTTGTGACAAATGACATTCAGACACACAACCACAAAACTGACTGATGTTCTTAAAGGCGAGCAGACAAGTTAGAAGCATAACTGAATACGTAATAAATACGAACGCTGCACAATATATTATTTTTGCAGTGAGACTGGGATCCCTGGTGGTGTGATGTGATCATGCTACACTCTGTTTCTGCTGCTCGACACAAAAAGAAAACGGATGGTTCTCACTTTCTGTGTCTAATCTACAAGAGAAATCTGCCTGATATAATTTACTCAGATTTAAGGGTTCGGGGAGAACTATAAAACAGAAAGTTTGTTGGCTGTGTGTGTGCACAGCAAAATGACGGCGAACAGGGGAGAAATACTGAAAGGAAGTATTTTCACAACAGTTAAATGGAAATATGTCCATCATGGAAAGATGATGTTGACCAGAAACCTCTACGACAACTCAGCAACGTGAGACGACACGACGAGTCCATTAGACCATTTAACCCTATTCAGGACTTTTGGGGTCTTTTGGACCCCAGGCCATTTGGTTTAGGTGACAGGTATTGTTTTTTTTTTTTTGTTTTTTTTTAATATAAAAAGAGGGACATTTGTCATGCACTTGGAACCAAAAATGATCAGAAAATGTATTTAACATAGTATAAAAGTCATTAATAAATACCAACAAATATTTTGCACATATTCTTTCTTCCTTCTACGTCTGGCAACATGAAAGTCCTGAACAGGGTTAAATCATTATTACACCTTTTTGAATACCAATATTTCATTAAATTACTTTTTATTTTTGATGCAGATGTACTCTCTTGCAAAATAGCCCTAAACCTCCTACAATGATTCATTATCTCCAAATAGTTATTCAAGATATTTGGTGAAAATTCCTGGATTTTTTCATATTGCTATATCTATTGTAGAAAATCTAAATATTGCAATGTCCTCTTTTCTTCCGACTTTGTGCAGCTGTAGTAAAAACAATTAAGTAAATCACTATAAAGTAGCATAAGAATGAACAAAGCTTTGTACTTTTCCCTCAGTCAATTAAAAAGAAACAAAAAGCTTTTTATTTTTCCTTTACTAATAAGCCATCTGAAGCTAACTCAAAAATTAAACAGCGCATGTAATCACCACCCATGTACTGCCCTGCGTACGGCTGCAGCATCACTGCATAACGTCTGACAGGGTTTCAGCTGGAAAACTATCGCTAGCAAAGGTAGCTAGCCAATGAAACTTGTGCTGACTGATAAACTGGATTTTCATTGGCATCACGATATAAACATGCACAATAAACAGAGCAAAAACAAAACAAAACAGGAGGACCACAATGAATAAGATAGCAGTGGATTTGCACGCACTTCGCATTCACACTCAGCATGCAGGCGTTTGACCTATCAGATGGAGCCCTGGATACTTGGACCACGCATTCATAGCACATTGCCAACCTCAGATTAACTGTTGTCAATTCAGTAGCGACTGCGAGGTTCGCGAGCATGATGGCTGAGGAAGGAGAGAGGAGCGACGAAAAAGGAAATAAAAAAGCTGGGAAAAATGTATTATAACATTTTTATTATTATTTTATTATTATTATAATTATTATTATAAAAAATGCATTTCTTATAGTTATTTTTTTATTTTTTTTTAAATAAATCTTTCATTGACTTGTTTCGGTATTCATGTGCAATTTACTCAATAAAATAAAATAATGTCTTTAATTTCTGTATTGAGGGGGCACTAGCTATCCAGTGTTTGGAGTTTGTGTTTGCAGTGTGCCTCTTAAACTAGAATGACGTAGGAACTGTATACGACTATAAGTACATGTGTTTTTTCATCAAGCACTTCAACGGAAATAGATCTTGCACTCCTCAAGTGAAATAACCTAAACAGTTGTTACTCTGGTGTAGGATCGCTGGTGGTAAAAAAAAAAAAACTGAAGCTCCAAAACACACGAGGGTTTATGATTACAAAACCAAGAATGCCGACTCTTTAGCCAGGATTTTTTTTATGCAAGATTTGTTGGCTTTTGATGGCATACAGCCTCTGTTGTCTTCCTGAGCAAAGACGTGGTTTGACCTTTGATCTGATACTGACTGAGCTCGCCCCTTATTTCCCAGCAACACACTCGGTCTCATTGTTCTGTGCCAGAACACAGAGAAGTCTAAGCAGCCCAGTTCAGCTATTCTTGTAGAAAAAAGAAAAAAAAAAGAAACAGCATGACTCTGCTTGTTTCATGTATAATTGATCATTACATTAAGCGCTAGCTGACATGCACAAGACTGTCATTTACAAAGTAGAAGAGACGCACCTTGTGACTTCCTGGAAGCCTTTTCTCTCTGGAGAGACGAATAATGTGCACAATCGATTTTGTTTTCAGAATGATTTAACCTGGAGTCGGCGTACAGTAGACCCACAGTCATTTCCTGGTTCCAGGATGATGGAAATGTTAATAATGACAAGATGCGTTTCTTTTTTTTATTCTCGGTACTATGTACAGTAACTGACTGGAGACACTCTGAAGTAAAATCAGACTTCAAGTTAGGAGATGCTTCAAATAAAACAAGCTTAAACCTGTCACATTTGTTATCCTCTATGGTTTTATGTATATTTTACATGTCGTATTGGTGTTAAATACCACATTTAATTATTTTTGGTTTGTGACAATTCTTGCTTGATTTATCATAGATGAGATTCACTGTCCTGTATCTTGAACTCCATGTGTCGTAGGTTCAATTGCATTCATTGTGAGATCTTCTCTGGCTTCAGCTCTGAATTACATGCATGTTATTGAGAGAAAACTGCATTGGGGATTACATGTTGGTCAATACATATAAAGCATTTAATACACAGTACTAGAAATATCAATATTTTTAAATTCTCTGTCTGCCAAATGAAAAAAGTGCTTTTCATATCTCTGCTGCTACTGTACTCTTCAACATATCCTCCTGCACTCATATCACTTAAGTCTATTATATAAAGCCAGTGGGTATTTACTCTCTATTATGTGAACACTGGTAGCAAAGCAGGGATGCCCCCGAACCAAAACAATGTCCCCACTAACAGCAGCAGATAAATTTAATCTTTCTCCACTGAAATAATCCTTTTACAGCAGAACCAGGACACCTGAAGTTGGTCAGGATATTTAGTGGGTCAGCCTCTTTAGAAGAAAAAAAAAACAGAGGGAGCGAGACAGACAGACATAGGCAGGGAATTAATAAGTGGCCGTGTCAAGGCCAAGCAGTCACGGGCTGATATAAAAGAGGTTGTGGCTTCCCTGAGGGAGTGTGTTCTAGGCCAGCACTGGCCTGCCTGGGGGCCTATCATCATCCTCTGTGTCCATTCAGCAAACCACAGCACACTTCCTCTGACACACACACACACACACACACTGTTGATGTGTGACATCTGTCTGGGTGAAAGGGGTGGAAAGACTCCCAACGTTGAGCGTATGAGCCCAAAAAAAAAAGAGAAGTGCTGTGAGATTTCCCTGTCTTCAGATAATGTGGGCAAATATAGGTTTAAGAGACTTTCACTAATTAATGACACAAACTTGGTTCTGCCACAAACGGTTTATGAAAGGATTTTTTTTCCATCTGCTGCTCTGACCAGCTGGTGTCAGAGGTTATTCTCTGGAAAATGCTATGTTACACAGGAAGTCATGTTTTATTTTTGGTGTTTTTTTAAAAAACGTTTAAGGTGTGTTTAGAATAAAAACACCGTTTCTGAGTCGGCAGTGACAGCCGTGACACATGGAAAATGATGTCACAGTGATGACCAAGGTGTTGGACAAACAAATGTTCTAAATCTGCCGCTAAAAACACATGGACAGAAAACACGAGAGCCCGACCGATGAAATGTCCTGCCGATATTATCATTATTATTACTACTGTAAACCTATCGATATTTATGTTGGGTGTAAATTTAAAAAAATACACAAAAATGTGGATCACATTTCTGCAACCAGCAAAAAAATCGTCAGAGAAACAAAGCGATAAAATCAAAAGTAAAAGTGCTCCTTACGCAGGCAGAATGACCCCTAACATCCCACAAGTTCATTCATTAATTGTGTCAGTCAAAATAAAATCTAAATATATTATTTTGATAAAATTTCACTTTTTTATTTTTTTTTCAAGCAAAAACTGGTTTCAGCTTTTTAACTGTCAAGATGTGAAGCTTCTCTTTGTCATGCATGACAGTAAACTGAAGGTCTTTGTAGTTCTGCATCATTTCTGGGACAAAACAAAGAATAGACGGAGGCATTTCCACCGGAGGAGCTCGGGGCAGGCATGAGGGGGCACGAACGTTTACGGTAACAGCCGTTTCATCCTTTCAGTTTCCATTGTTGCCACGGATCCACCAGATGATAACATTTCATGAGGTTTCAGACTGCTCTAGACAACTCCAAGTGTGCCAAAAAGCAGCAAATAGTAACTACTGGACATGATTTCAGTTCTATGAGCATGTAGGAAATGAAAAAATGGAGTTGTTTTTTCAGAGCCAATACCTATTATCTGTAATGAAGTAAACTGATGAGAGTGGCAGCCACCAGGGGCAAAGAGGCGCATTTGAAGCTAATTTATTCTACAGGAAATCATTTTAAAAAAACATATGGATAATCAGAAAAATGCAGAACCTCGGATTCGATAAGGAAAGGCTTAGGAGAGAAAACCAGTCAACACCTAACAGGAACTAAGATATCTGCTGTGCTGCTATTTGTTCTGTTAGCCTACATTAAATATTTTATGTTGCTGGTGCCGCCGTTAGAGAGATGATGGTTTCGACTTAAAGAGGACATCAAGGGGGCAGAAAAATCTCACCTTGGGTTGTGGAAAAGGTTTACAGGCATTTTTCACTCTTTCCTGACATTTTACAGGCAAATCAATCAATGGAGAATCCACAGATTCACTGACGTAAAATGCATTCAGGAATCACCGCCATCGTCATTATAATATTAGATAATTATGACTAACTGGTAGAAATGGCGATGAGTAAAGAAAACTATATTATAAATCTCCTTTGAAGCTGCAGTAATCAATATTTCTTGGTTCCAGCGGATCAAGTGTCCGTGGGTAATGTGAATAGGTTTGCTTGTAACCTCACTCTGAAGTCCAGCTCAGGGTTTTCAACCTATTTTAGATAATTGCATTAGTTTTCCAACAACATAATCCGCCGTTAACCTTCTCTGACTGCACCAGGCAGCTGTTTTTATCAAAAAGCTCTCAGAAACCCACGGTACAGTATCAGCAAATGACAGACCACGTTAGCAGCTGATGGAGCATGAAGCAGATAAAGAGTCCAGCATTTCTCTCAGTAGCCGGTAGAAACTGAAATCTGAGCTAAGAGGCGGTGAATATGGATCTTCATCACGTTACTATGAAGATAACTCTGAACTAATGCTGCTGCTGCTGCTCTGTGTCTGCTGGTCGTGTAAACAGGCAACATGTTTTCTATCCACGTTAGAGGGTGACGGTGTGCAAGTGTTTAGTTTTCTGCTTGTCCTCAAAAAAGATCAATTATTTCAGCTGTAAAACAAACATCAGTGCAAGCTAGATAGACTCAGCTGACAAGAGGCATCAAGAAAATACAAAATTACATGTTTGTTGGAAGTGGTATTGCTGCTGTTGCATTGTTTTTATAATGCACCGTCCCCACACTACCAACGTTCAATCAATAACCTATAATCAGTGTCAGGAATCTATTTTGGGTCTGACACCAGAGACCTCTGCTGCTCAGTTGCTGATGCTCTTGAACAGATGTGATATCAGCAATAAAACAAACAAAAACAGTAAAATCCTCCTGGTTGTATCCTAGTGTTTAGCAGTAAGTGTGTGTGAGCGCTGGTGATATACAGTAGTGTTGTGTTTACACTGAGTGCCTGCAGCCGACAGGACAGATGTGAGCTCAGTGATCGGGCCAAGTCAAAGACAGTCCCTCCATTGAGCAGGAGCAGAGGACACAGGCTGATCCATACGACCTCCTCCTCATCCTCCTCCACAGCTCCACAGCTCCCAGCACTTCAACTCATTCTCCTCCAACTCTGACATTCATCTCAAGTCCTTCGTTTCAAATGATTTTCACTTTTCTGCCTTTTTTTTGTCTCCAGAAAGAGGAGGCAGGTCCTCATGAGTGTGTGTGCAGACTTATGTCCCCACAACTAAAGCAACACAGTTCACACACACACACACACACACACACACACACACACACACACACACACAGAGTGATGACTTCATGACTCCTGACTCCAGTTTTCTCAGGAGTTCACAGATGACAGATAAAACTGAACATGGCTCAGACATGGTGAGAACCACCACACTGCATAAAACTGATTAAAATAAAATGTGTTTAAATATAATAACGTCTGTGATAAATATCAACCATTGAACGGGTTCAAACTGGACATGTACAGACGTTTTCAAAGCCTATTAGTGGGATTTCATGCTAACTTGTTAACTTTTTTGCTAATTCCGTTCAGCTCCACTCAGCTCTCCGCTTAGTCTGCTGACTTTTTCTGCCGTTTTACTCTATTTAACAACGTTTCTAATCATTTTTCTCCGCTCTCTTCGTCAGTACTTGTGTACAGGGACCACCAGCTAGCTGCTCAGCGATGCGGGGACTGATGCTGACCCGTCCGCTAACTGCCACCGCTCAGCCGCTACTCACCGCTCACTGCCCGGCTGCTCTCCGGACGACCTCCGGCCGGTATGCAAAACCTCCAGCTCCCCCCCAACACACACTCACACACACTCACACACTCACACACACACACGGCGTTCAGGTCAGGCTACTTACGCCCTTGGTCTGGGGAAGCCCATGGATAACAGCACGTCCAGGCTGGAGCCGCATTTCATGGAGCCCGCTCGGTTCTGCCTGAGCCGCCGGGGGAGGATTTTGCTGTAGAGGTCGTCTTTAGCAGCCATGGTCGAGTCGGAAACAGTCCACCAGAAGCAGCAGCAGCAGCAGCAGCACACAGGGCTCCGGTTAGTCCATGAGCCTCAGCGGGGTCCGCATGAGTGGAGAGGTAACGGCAACAACACGGAGCCGAGCTGAGAGCAGCGCTGTGCGGCCACGCAGAGCTGCTACTCCGCCCACTGGAGGAAGCAGCAAATGAGACGAGCTCAGTGGGTTGAGAGCGGAGCAGCCCAGCGCTGATCACAGAGCAGATCCCAGTGTGATCAGGGAGGTTAGAGGACTTACTGAACACGTTACTGCTGCTTGTTTATCATCCACTACGTGTGTCAGTAATGTGGGTTCACCTTCCTGTTAGTTTGGGGGTCAATTTAACCCCATTCAGTGTTTAACATGTAAATAAGTGACTGACATATTTTTTTTTCTGTTTTATTTAAAGGGCTATTTACAATAAACGTGGGTAATTCTGATATTTCTTTAATTGCTGGGGTCAAAGTGAACCCAAGGATAAAAGATGTCAGTAAATCTGAAGGTAACAGGAGGGTTTAGTCTACGAAGGACAAAACACTGTGAGATATAAAAGTAGCTTTTAATTTGTGTACAAAATTACAGCCATACAAACATATTAAGTCTATAAAATCACATATATAAAAAGATAATTACATCATTTTTACATTGTTTGCTGATGATAACTCTGACACGAATGCATTATTCACAAATCTCATACAAAGCTTATTTTCTCGACACAGACTCATTCACTACCTGCAACATGATTTGGCCCGTCTGGTCAGATATCACACAAACCATCAACGAAGATCCATCTGATTATTCTTTTATAGCTTTCCTGTAATTTTGTGTAACCGATCAAAATGTTTGCATTGTTTAATCCCGTCAATCTGTCCTGTGGAGCGACACCAGGACTAAACACATGGAGGGCCACAGTGTGATGGCTGCGAGTTGGCCTTGAGTGGCCTGGCTTAGTCGTGGGGAGATGTGTGAGGTTAGCGCTGGCCGCCTACAGTGCTGGCAGATGGGTTGTATGGTGCGATGACACAGAAGACACAGCCTGCCTCCTGGAAAGCCTGCCTCATCTCCACCTAGTGGGACAAACACAGACTGCATCAGACACATCGATCACACACATCCTGCCACTGAACTGACCGCTCAGAGCAGGTCAACAGCTACAGCAGCCAAAATCTTTATACCGTCTCCTACTGAGCGAGACGTAATTAAGCAAAGGACACAGTGGTTGCGTCAAATGTCACCTTAAGGAGCTAAAGGGTTACTGGTGCAGTCAAGTGTTTCTTTCTGTTGTCTTTTCTGTCTCCCCCTTCACCTTCATCCCAACTGGACCAGGCAGATGGTCGCCTTCTCTAAGCCTGGTTCTGCAGGAAGTCTCCTCCTGTTATAGGGGAGTTCTTCCTCTCCACTGTCACCAATATGCTGCTCAAAGGCTATCTCTGGATTGTCTGGATATTCCATGAACAATTTTGTATGGTATTACCTTTAATTCTAAGTTATCATGTATTTTGGTATATTAGGGTATTATTATTGTAGGGTCTTAACCGTAATATCAGAATGAGGTCAGGTGAATTTATGTTGCAGGTTTTGACCTTATATTTAAAATAGTCAGGTGAATTTCTACAGTCTGGTATTGTAGGATCTTAACTCAAATATCTAAACTAATCTAAATAGATTAGATTAGATAGAACTTTATTGATTCCTTTGGGAGGGTACCTCAGGGAACCAGCACAGCAGAAACAGCACAACACCGACAGAGACAGTAGCACACATCAATTAAGGAAAAAAAAGAAGCCGTAAACAAGGAAACAAATTGTTAGATAGGACAGCAGCAGTGTAATAATAGTATAGTAATAACAGTATCAATACTAATGTAAATAATAACAATAATAATAATATGCTATATAATATGGAAACAATCAGTGTAGTTATAGGTAGATATAGTTGAGTATATAAAATATAAAGGTGTATCGAATATATATTAAAATATATATATATATAACAAACATAAATAAATGTATAAATTAATATATGTGTATATGTACAGTACACAATATATATTGTTTGTAATAGAACAAAAGTAACAATCATAATAATAATAATAATGCTAATAACAATGTGAAAAAAAGGAAACATAATAACAACAATAATAAGAGCACTAATAACGGAAACATTTTTAAAATAGGTATCAGTGAGCCAATAAACCGGGGAGGAAGCATAGGAATGGCATTATTAAATTAAATTTGTATGATTAAATAATATTGTAGGGTCCAAAGCTTTTATTTTTTTATTTTTTTATTTTATCAAGTAAATTAGTATTTCATGTAATACTGCAGGGTCTCCAAAATATTTAAATTAGTTCAGTAAATTTGTGTAATCAACAATATCGTAGGATCCTGACCTCAAGTTTATTAACTTGTTTGATGAATTCGTAGCACTAATTTTATTTCTCTGGTCAAAGCACTTTTCAGCTCAGTGTGATGTATTTCTTCATGGCAATTTGACTTGACTTCATTTTTGCTATTTTTTTATTTGTATTTTTATTTCTATTTTATTTATTAACTTAGAAGAACTTCCCCAGAAATGTTTCAACACATAAGAAATATTGCCCTAGTTTTGGTCCGATTAGGTAATTTTCCCAAAGCCTGAAAAATGTCATCTTTTCCCTCCAAGCTCTAGGAATATGCAAATATTTTTCAGATGTAACTACTGGACTCAGATATGTCTTGTTTCACTGAAAAGCCCATTTCTGTTGTCAAACTTCATGTATATATGTATTTTTTTGTGACTATAATTTTCTTTTAAGATTTATTGTCTGTTTCAGTTTTGTCAAAAAAGGCCACAGTTATGGACACAAAACAAGTTGTTTCCTTTTGTTTTCCGTTCATCTTACTGCGAGTGAGACAGCAGTAATCGTGGAAAAGATGACTTCATCTGTGTAAGAATATTGTAACTCCTTTGCTTTTCTCTTGGAAGACAATTACAACACAACTATTTTGTGAGGGTCGGGTTTAGAAATGGAGCCAGAAAGTAACATGAACTGAAATATAACGATTTACTATAAACCAAAGAGGTTGTTGTATCCATGAAACAAACAATGTCTGATAGTTTTTGGGTTATAAACCAGACATTGGATATCCCTGCAAGAAAACACAAATCAAAGTGACAGCGTTAATCTTTAATTGAGCCGAGAAGCCAGAGATGATTTCTCTTGATTACATCAGAAAGTCACAGTTTTAGAAGATTCTGCTCCGTCTAGAGCTCACTGTCTGATCTGTCACATCGCAGAACGTGTTTACTGAGGCCTGTTTTGACTAATATCATGTAGCTCAGTTTGTTTTTAGTCTGTGACCTCTGTACGAGGACATAAAGTGACCAATTTACCATCCAATGAGTGGAAGACACAAGAATTTTAATATGACGCTCCAAAGCCAAACCCCAGACGACCACAGATAAGAGTGTCAGTGACAGTTTTCGTGTAGTCCAGTCTTACCAATCTCGCCTGGTCCAGACATAAACCCACCACGGCCCCCCCACTGCCGGGTAACTTCACTGCTGAGCCAAACTGCAAGAAACAGCAGAAATTTCATGAATGCGTGAACAGAAAAACAGCCCTGCAGGCACAAACAGTTGGAGGTAGAGAACAGTGTTAAATAAATTGTGTTCTGGACCAAACAGTGAAACCTCTCAGCACCTACCTGCCTCGCCAGCTGAACCATTTTAAGATTCCCAGGACCCAGACAGTCATCAGTGTAGACAGACCTGTGGGATGTATTGTTAGCCGAGAGTGTAAATATAATATGCATGCTGCAAACCAAACCTGCTGTTTACCTCCGCAGTTCAAAGTTCTGGTCCATGAGTCGTGCCAAACAGCTCCAGTCTCTGTCCTTAATAGCCATCCTGAGGAGAGAAACATATTCAGTGGGTGCTAAGGTCATGCAAGTTTCACCCTGTAACTCTCTGAATCTCTGAAACAACACAACAAAGACAAAAACTAGGCCCACTATTACCAGGAGAGCTGCAGCAAACAAAGCTTATCTGTCAGCTCACCGTGCATGAGAGCCAAAGCCACTCTAAGACTTGTCCAAAGTCCAGAAATAATTCATCACATGATTGACATGACCTTCTCCCTAATGCATGTGGCAAAATCCCTACTGCATAAACTCTTGACTTAACATCGAGTCCTGAAACCAACCTCGCCTGATCAGTGAGCTCAGCAAAACTCTTCATGGCCTCCACGACCGCCGGCTCCCCTGTGGACGCACAAGAAACGGGAAAGCACTTCAGCAAACAAACCATTATTTTTAAAAGTCCTTAAAGGAATAGAAAGCTCTAAATATGCACATTTTCTAGCAAGTTAATATTAAACAGGACTGAAGAACTGAGATTTCATATCAGGGGCTTTCCTGCCCAGTGAAGAACACTTAGTAGGACTAAAAAGGACACTGACTGAAGAAGAAGAGTCTCGAGCCGTGCTAGTGGCACACAAAGAGTCTTAACAAGGTGTCTGACTATCATGTGTGTCATCTCGTGTTTTGATGATAGTGGGGCAGAGTGCTATCAAACACGTTGGTCCAAAATCTCCCTCTAAATATGCAACTTTGATACACAGAGATAAGTTTGTAAGGGTGTAATCAATGACTGCAGAGGGACTTTAAACTCAAAGTGACAGTAGAGGAAAAGTCAAGGATCCCCAGTCTGTAGTCTGTAGGATTCATTTTCTGAGAAACACAGGTGCTTGTGCCAAATTTTACTGCAGTTCATCCACCAGTTGTTCAGATATTTCAGTCCAGACCACTACAGGGGACGCACCGACAGGCCAGCAATGCCTTCTAAATGTGACTAATGTGACCATCAGCATTTGACAGCTTATGTACTGTGTGATTTGAAGGCGTACCGTTGAGCCAGCGCTGTCGGATGTTGCTGTGGATGCGTCCAGAGTCACTGGGGTCACTCAGGAAGGCCAGCCAGAACAGCGGAAGCTCACTCATGTCCATAGGCACATAGTTCCCTGAGAATGGAAAGCATTCACACCTGAAGAAATACAAAGTACTGTGCAAAAGACTTATTCAAATATTCAGCACTGTGTCTGCTTGGTCCCAAGTTCAGTCTGCAGTAATCTAACAATAAGTCCAAACAGAAGAAGAACAAGGAGTCCAGCCACAGATGGTCTGACCCCCACAGAGCTCTGATCTCAGTATCATGGAGTCAGTCGGAGATTATATGAGTAGACAGACTAAATCCATGGACATGTAGAAAGGTCTCAAAGATGCCAAGTACTTAAAAAAAAAAACTCTGCGCAAGTGCAGCAAGAAGTGGTTCAAAGCACCAAACATCGCACTTTGTATGAAAAAAACTAATGAACCAAATCTGTTATTCACTCCACTTTTAGTGCATAAAATGTTTCTTTTGCACAATACTGAATGTGTTTCAACAACTTCATCATGTGCTGACACACAGTGATGTTCGTACCGTAGCCCTGCTCCTCCATAAGCTTCTTGCTGAAATCCATGTAAACTAAACCTTCATAGACCTGCAAAAGACAAACGGACACAGAACTCCTGTCACTGTCGGTGGAAGCTCTTGTGCAGCGCTGACAGACGCAGTTATATCACTGACCTGCACAACTCTGTCCTGCAGGCCAGCAGTGATGAACAGCTCATCCGTCTCCACGTTGAGGATGAAGTTGGCTCGGACTGGTTGAGGCAAGTCCTGCGGTATATGAAAAAAATATAAGGACCAGTAGGAACAGTGACAGACTGATGGAAGAAATCCGCTCTGATGGCTTTGGTGACACCATAAAATGGGGATCCTTACGCTGTCTGTGATGTTGTAGAATTTCATAAGACACTTGAGGGTAGCTGAGACGATGGCACTGTGAACGGAGAAGGTTGGAAACAAGGAAATGATGAAATTCATAGTATGCAACATGATTTATAAATTTGATAAAAAAATGATGAAATACAGCTATTTACCTGCTTCCAGCCAGGCCCTTCATTTAGACAGAGAAACAACGGCATCATTAGAGCGTGTTACATAAAAGGGGGGAATAGTTCAACATTGTGTGCTGCTACAGTTTGACGTTTCACAGTGTGAGCGGTGAACTGCTTTCATTCTTAGAAAAACAAGTATCTGAATGGATCCTCACCACTTGTCGAGGAATGTTGGTGTCGTACTTCAGTGTGAAGTTCTGTTTTGTCAAAGCAATACTGCAGAGAAGAACGCACAGCAAACGGTTACTGAGCATTAGCAGAGGATAGCACATGAAAGAGAATTCAGTGTCTAGTGAGCCACAAGTCCGACTGAGTGAAAAAATCCTGAGTGCAGAAAGATTATTTCAATCTGTTTTCAAAGTAAATTAATTCCTTTCAAGTGTTTTCTAAAGACAAGGGTATGTCATTGTTGCTCAGGGTGGGTGGGATAGTGAGGGGGGGGAAGCTGTGGTAAAGATACTGTCTGATGGGGCGCCCCGGTAGCTCAACCAGATAAGACGGTGACTGATAAACGGGGCTATAGTCCCCGATGCAGCAGTCATGGGATCGACTCCCGACCACGGCCACTTGCTGCAGGTCTTTCCCCATTCTTCTCCCTCATTTCCTGTCTCTCTCCACTGTTTTGATAATAAAGAAAAATAATTTAAAGATACTGTCTGAGGTTAGAGAGACAGCTGCACACCAGCATTCCAACAACAACAGGTAGTTACTGATTGTAGCCTGTCCTGCTGATCGGTCACTAAGCAACATGGTGCACAGCGATTTATGTCAAAAGTGACATAACCTGTTTCCACCAT